AAACAGGCAACCAATTTATCATGATATTGAGTAGATAATGCACAGTTGACAATTTTAGACACTGGATTTGGATATGTACTGGATTTGTTTTTGAAATTATGGAACTACTTCCAGCAAAGTTGAAGACCATTCAGGTTTATGAGGGGATCATGCTGATATGTAAAGCCCTAAATCTTGACTGATTTGTGAGCACCCAATGAGAAACTGAATGATGACAATTAATCTCAAATTATTTTATTTGGAGAATTTTAATAACAACTTTTACCAATACTGAGGCACATGTAAACAATCAATTTAAAGGTTCCAGGTAAAAACTGTAGAATAATGTATAACTGTATTACAGCAAGAATATAAAAGCAGTTGAGATATGCTTCCAATTAGTTAAACAACAAAATATTAATACTAATTGGTGAAGTTTTGAAAAAGTATACTGTCTGGACTGTAATACCATTTTGTGCAACTCAATAGTTAGAAAACATTGCAAGACTTCTTCTTTCATACAAAATGGTCTTTTAACACTATATTGATATATTCAATAGCTATGCATATTAGCACTGTAGGTCAGTTGTAAAGAAGATTATGTCATGCAAGATTCTCACTGAACAATGTTTTACCAAAACAACGTCACTTTCATTTAATTATCAATCCTCTAAATTAAGCTAAAACAACTGATGCCACATTTGAAAATCAATTTATCCTTAACTGTAAGAGCAAACTATTGCAGATGCTGGAATCTGTCCTGAAAACAAAAAATGCTGGAAATCATAGCGGGTCAGGCAACATCCATGAAGAGAAAGCAAGCTAATGTTTCAAGTCTAGATGACTCTTCATCAGAGCTGACATGAAGTGTGGAGTTCATCTTGTCAATAAATATCAGTTTTCTCATTGTTATGAAACCTGTTCTTGTCTTGTTCTTTTTTTAACATGTTAAAAAGATTTACATTCCAGATGGGTTTTTTTGTGACTTTGAGGATTCAGACATTTAAATATCAGAACACTGCACAAGTTAGACGAAGGATAAATCCTTCTTTCACATTGCCCACAAAATCTGCCTTAACATCACTCAACAAGGAGTTTGAGATCCCTCTTTGGTCAAGAAGCAGGTGGAGGATCCCAGCCAACATGTCAATTTCCCAAATTCCCATTACTAATGTCAGCTATTTTAATTAGCACAGGCACAGGCTGCACCCTTCAAGCCACCTGCCCCATGTGTTGTTCAGATAACTATGCTTGTTAATAATTTTGTTAAATATGGGTAATGGAGACCAACTGGAATTTTCCAGTCAGCCTTAAGTTTCATGATGCAGTGGGAAATGGGTTTTGCTGGTTGGAAGCAGGTCTACAGGTACTTCACGCCTACCTGGGTGGTGTTGCAAAAAAAAGGCTGGCCTCTAAAAGTTCGTCCACGCTGCTAATGCCAACAATGGTGGCCTGAGTGCTTTCTCTTCTTTTAAAAAGTGACTGAGAAGTAGCTGGCCTCTAATTTGTCTTCCATCTTCAAGATCCCACCTCTTCTTTTAATTGAACATTGAACCTGTCTGCTGTCATTTCAAGGGGGCGGGGGGTAAGATCCCAATGAGTAATTATCTGCTCTAAAATTAAAATTCATCTCAATGTATCAAGAGTTTTTCTGTGGTTCAAAATCAGCAAGGTCTCAAATTCAAACTCAAATTTTAAATGACATCATATTTCAGTTTCACCAAAACAAGTAAAAAATCCGTGAGGAATGACGCCTGAATGATATAGACTGGGAAGTTCAGCAGGTAACAGGGAAGGCAAATGGAATACTGGGTTTTATCTGAAAGAGAATGGAATATAACAATGGTGAAGCCTTGCTAAAACTATACAAGGTTCTATTTAGACCACTCTTAGAATACCGTGAACATTTTTGGTCAACTTACCTAAGACACAGTAGCATTACAGATAGTCTTGAAAAGATTCATAAAGTTGATTCTAGGTATGGAGGGATTTTCTTATGAGGGTTAAGTATCTTTAACCTGTACTGTTTGGAGTTTAGAAGAATGAGAGGCAGTCTTATTAAACATGTAAAATCCTTAGGAGGCTTGACAGGGTGGTTGTTAAGAGGTTGTGGGAGTCTAGAACCAGAAGAATCCCCAGAGTGAGGAGTCATCCATTTAAGACAAGTAGGGAAGATTTCCTTCTCTTAGAGGGTAGTGAGTCTGGAATTCTTTACCACAGAGCTCTGTAGAAGCTGGATCATTTAGTATATTTAGGACCAAGAACGGAATCAAGAGTTGGGGAAAAAGGCAGGGAAGTGGATTTGAGAATTATGAAATCAGCCATGATTTCATTGAATGGCTGAGCAGACTCAATGAGCCAAATGGCCTACTTCTGTCCCTATGTCTTATATTTATGTTCGATGGGCAACCCGCAGCTAATTCCATCATTTAAGCTTTCACAATTCAGGACCAACCTTTTTGCAATGAACAAAGCAGGTTTCAACTATGCTGTGATAACAAGGTACGGAGCTGGATGAACACAGCAGGCCAAGCAGCATCAGAGGAGCAGGAAGGCTGACATTTCGGGCCTAGACCCTTCTTCAGAAATGGGGGAGGGGAAGGGGGTTCTGAAATAAATAGGGAGAGAGGGGGAGGCGGATAGAAGATGGATAGAGGAGAAGATAGGTGGAGAGGAAACAGACAGGTCAAAGAGGCGGGGATGGAGCCAGTAGAAGTGAGTGTAGGTGGGGAGGTAGGGAGGGGTTAGGTCAGTCCAGGGAGGACGGACAGGTCAAGGGGGCGGGATGAGGTTAGTAGGTAGGAGATAGGGGTGGGGCTTGGGGTGGGAGGAGGGGATAGGTGGGAGGAAGGACAGGTTAGGGAGGTGGGGATGAGCTGGGCTGGTTTTGGGATACGGTAGGGGGATGGGAGATTTTGAAGCATGTGAAGTCCACATTGATACCATTGGGCTGCAGGGTTCCCAAGCGGAATATGAGTTGCTGTTTCTGCAACCTTCGGGGAGCATCATTGTGGCACTGCAGGAGGCCTAGGATGGACATGTCGTCTGAGGAATGGGAGGGGGAGTTGAAATGGTTTGCGACTGGGAGGTGCAGTTCTTTAATGCGAACCAAGCGTAGGTGTTCTGCAAAGCTTTCCCCAAGCCTCTGCTTGGTTTCCCCGATGTCGAGGAGGCCACAACAGGAACAGTGGATGCAGTATACCACATTAGCAGATGTGCAGGTGAACATCTGCTTGATGTGGAAAGTCTTCTTGGGGCCTGGGATGGGGGTGAGGGAGGAGGTATGGGGGCAGGTGTAGCACTTCCTGCGGTTGCAGGGAAAAGTGCCGGGTGTGGTGGGGCTGGAGGGGAGTGTGGAGCGGACAAGGGAGTCCCGGAGAGAATGGTCCCTCCGGAAAGCAGATAAGGGTGGGGAGGGAAAAATGTCTTTGGTGGTGGGGTCGGATTGCAGATGGCAGAAGTGTCGGAGGATGATGCGTTGGATCCGGAGGTTGGTGGGGTGGTACATGAGGACGAGGCGGATTCTGTTTTGGTTGTTATTGCGGGGAGGGGGTGTGAGGGATGAGTTGCGGTTTATACCTGGTTTGCTTCAGGACTACATACCAAAGAAAATAAAATATAGGTTGCCAAAATATACACCCTGCACCAAATTTATTTTTGAGATAGACTTGCAGGAATTATATATTTCACAATGTTTAAATGTTCATTATGAAGGCATTGCCATGAGTGAGGATTTTATGAAATCAAGAGGATGACTGGAAGTTGGATCAACTGTTGGGAATGCCAGTTTCCCTGTAGATAAATCCTGAATTCGGGTTCTGAGTGAGGTTGTTGGAGGGCCAGGGTGAAGAGATCACAAGGGAGTGTTGAAGAAGGGATGCCTACACTGGGTCTGGGGTTTGCAGAGGAGAATCCTCCTGCACTGCCTGATGCCAGCCCATCCATTTGAAGTTGTCAGATGTTCTGTATGGCATGGTTCTCCCCCACCACAGATAAAGTATCGGTGATGATAGATAGGGCCCTTAATTCATCATTACTTGAATCAGACACCCACCCACCATATAAAATTTTAGCAAGGTCGGGGTGAGCAAGTAGACAGTAAGAAGGGTACTCGCTGGATTTTATGCTGCCAACCACTGGTTTGAAAATGTAGGGCATGTAAAATTCAGCCTATGGAATATATGAGCAGTCCACGTGTGGTAAGAGAAAGAATAAAAAGAATAAAAAACAGCATACATTACATAAACAACTGTTTTGTAAAGCAGAACTTGAATACTGCTGAAAAGCATGCTATATTACTGAAGCTTTTCGTCTAGCATTCTTCAGGACAAATAGAAAAATGCCAGTTTTAAACAATTTATATAATGGGAGATTTGGGAGAAATTGTTTGACGAATCAACCAATTGGCTGTGGTGTTGCTTTAGAGAAAGCAACAGGGAACAATTACTTCCCAGGTTTCCGGGTAATTAAAAAGAGGTGCTCGGCTGGAACTTGTTCTTTTCGCTTGCAGAGAATGCCTCTGTATGTCACTTCAACAATGTAAATGAGCCATGTTATGAGCTGGTCGCCAACCATTTTAACTCCCCCCTCCCACTCCCTGGGTGACATGTCCATCCTGGGCCTCCACCAGTGTCACAACGACACCACCCACAAACTGGAGGAGCAACACCTCATATTCTGCCTCGGGACCCTACAGCCCGATGGCCTAAACATGGAATTCACCAGTTTTAAAATCTCCCTACCCCCGGCCTCATCCTATGTCCAAGCCTCCCTCTCATCCCCGCCTCCTTGACCTGACATCTTCTCTCCCACCTATCCACCCCACCCATCCCACTGACTAATTCCCACCACTCCCTTCCTGCATTCACCTATCACCATCCCACCTACCTTCCCCAGCCCCACTCCTCTATTTATTTGAGCTCCCTTCCCCCTCCCCATTTCTGAAGAAGGGTCCTGACCCGAAACATCAACGTTCCTGCTCCTCTGATGCTGTCTGGCCTGCTGTGTTCCTCCAGCTCCATACTGTGTTGTCCAAGTTACAATCAGACTTTCGTATGTTTGACTGTGAAATTTCTTTGTCCATTGTCCAGAACAATAGGTAAAGGCAGAAATTTATTTACAAATAAACAGACGTTGTGAGATCATATATGAGACGCAAGTAAAATCTGATTAGCAGTTCGGATGTTCGTTTAACCCTTATCCACATTCATTCTAACCACATCTGGGTAGGTGTAGAACATCTTAGTTGCCTTTTAACATTACACCTTGCTTTATATTGCGCTGCAAAACACTCATGCATATTTCAATTTTACTCAATTACTTTACTGCTTATCAATAACATGAGCAAAAACTGTTAACAGTAAGCAAGCTGAATGGAAAAATACATACCCTGATTTCAAAAGATCAGTGTGAACAAAGCAAATGTCAATTTCAAGCAATGAAACTCCATTATCCCTATACCTATTACAAGGGAAGCTTTGGGATTAATAAATACTAATACAGTGCTGGTGTGATGTTAAATCACAAAGCTTAAGATCATGAGTATTTGCTCTAATGGTATACTGGTCATTGCATGTTAATTAGCTGTGTATCTTAATCTCATAAACTAAGTCCAAAATTGAACATAGCCAAATAAAATTCAAAATTTATTGTTGAAAAGTGAATTACAAAACAACAGACAAAATCTGGAAGAGTTAGGTTGGAATGCTGCTATGATCTTGCAGATTCTGCTGCACCTTAGGTTCACCTGCACGATGTAGGAGTTGGGATTCCTGTGATCGTCAAGAATTTATCTTCTGTGTATCAAGTGAAGTGATGACTACGTTTATAAGAAGAATGGCCCCCACGAGGATAATGGTAATTTTGTTGCACTTGCTCAACGTTTGCTGGTTGTCAACTTCATTCACATTGGTTTTTGCTGTACAAAAATTAGCAGCAATAGATATTAATCAATATCAATCAAAAGCACCAACTGTTTCCATGACATTGCACATACTACATATGTTTACCTATATATACACAACTCATGAAGTAAAACACCATTTCTGATTCGCCAAACCTTTACTACAATATATTAGTTCAGGAACAAACAAAACCTATTTATGGATCTATCACTAATTAAACTGTGAAAGGCTTCACTTGTCCTCATTACAAACAGACTTATGGCTTCCAAATTCCATAGACATCACCATCAAAAGGGTCCACTGTTCATTGTATTCAATAGGTGAAAGCTTGTCAGCACTCTCTTTTTTTGAAAGTAATGATTGAGTGTACATTTAGTCAGTCCTTTTCTCATTTTAATTTGCGTACAGTGATTTGAAGTGAATTTAATTTGTGGCACAAAAATAAATAGCCAGTTGATATGCTCTGACAAGTAAAATCAGACCTAAAACAAATTCTAGGGCTATGGTTCTGTATTACGTAATTGCTAAACTGCCATGCAGTTGACAACCCTATCTTTAATAATAACCTTGCAGGATCTTTGCATAGTCAGGTTTGGTAAACAGCCAGTTCTTTAAAGAGGTTATCAGCTTTCAATATATAGAAGTAAATGAAAGAAATAGATTTACTTACCACTAAAAACGAGCAGGAAAAAAATCACAATCTGAAGTGCAAGAGAGAGACTAATCAGGATAATAAGAGGAATGTAATACTTAAATTCAGGCCCTTGTTCGAGAACTCCAACCAGTTGTGTTGTATTAGACATGAGTAAGGTAACATCCAACATGCACTCTGCCACGCTTTTTAATGTGGCGTAGCCGTTGAAGTTGAGTGAAGACATTTGTCTTGTGACAGTATTTTCACCCTACAGAACATAAATAAGAATAAATGTTGTTATAAAATCTTTTTAAATAATGAAAAGCTCAGTGACCAGCATGACTCTCTAGCCGAGAAATTGGTCCACACACCAATTGTTCTTCAGGGCTAGAAATTGTGTCATTGGGAGTAAGGACTGATACAGGAAAGATGCATCTTTTACCCATGCCTATTTCAAACCTTTTTCAACATTAATTTTCTTTAATGCTCCCAGCTCCAGCCAAAATCAAGCCTAGCGGTCACCTGCTAGGTCCAACCTACCATTAAGCATCATAGCAACCGGCATGTCAAAGAAAACCAGAATTACATTGTGGGTTATTATAGACAGAATGGTTACAACACAAAGGAAATGTAAGAATTTTAATCTTTAAAAGATACTCTGAATTAAATTTAGAAAGTTCCTTGAGAGTTATCATTTTCCAATTAATCAACCCAATATGGTAGGATGTTGAATTTTAATATGTTTATGATGGGATATAACAAATACTGGTTAAACAGCAAAACATAAAGTCATGATAAGTAGAATGCATCAGTCCAGTTTGGCAGGACAAATAGGATGCATGAACAGTTATGTGGCTCTTCTTAGCACTTGAGGCTTCACAACTTATGGAACCCCTCAGGAATATGACTCCTTCAGTGTCTCCTTCCACCACCTACTGAAGTCTTTTAAATAGTAGCCTTTTTCAGGGATGGGTGCCTGGATACTATCTCCAATAAGAGACAATCTAACCACCACCCCTTCAGATTCAATGGTGTAACCTATTGAATCCCCCACTATCAACTTCCTGGGGTTACTATTGACCAGAAACTCAACTGGACTCACTGAATAAATATAGTGGCTATAAGAGCAGGTCAGGGGCTAGGAATACTGTGGCAAATAACTTACATCCTGACTCCCCACAGTCTGTCCATCATTTACTAGTACAAGTCAGGAGTGTGATGGAATACTCCCTACTTGCCTGGATGAGTGCAGCTCCAATAACACTGCTTTCAGTACAGACCATCTTACATGATAGACGAGGAAGCAATGTTATGTGAATCACATGGTACCCTTGGAAGTTGAACGGATTGCGGTCCCCCTTTTGTAGCATCATTGCTGCTAACTTCCAAATTATTGAGACGTCCAAGTTCAATTTACAAGCATCAGTGGCATATAGCAAGTTATTATTGTCCAGCGTCTGACCCCTGAACACTCTCACTCTGTATGCATAAAAGCATAATGAAACGACTGCAAATGGCTGTGCCATATATTTGTTGCTAGTGTCCTAGCATCCAGCAAACATGAATCCTGTGCTTCACCCCTCAAATGTTTTCCAGCAGCACTGCATATAGAGAAAGATAGGTGATAGAAATGAATAAATGCCTTTGCAGTGAACGCTGTCAGCACTGAGCTCCACCTGGTCATCAGATACACCCCAAATTATCCATGCCCCCTGTTTCCTGTCATTATCTTGACAACCTATTGTAACCCATCCCTCCATGTGGAAACTCACCACATTGTTCTTCGCTTACAATTACCAATGTTGACCCCTGAAACCTGATATTACATCTTGATCATACCCACCTTGATCATACCCACCTTACTCCTCTATGTTTCTCTTGTGCAAGTTACAATGCTAGTCAGTGCAAGTGTGGCCTGCCACACTTCCAATGCTGTTCTACATACTCACCCCACTTCGCCTCAAGTTTCCCTCTCTGTCACCATTCTTATCCCTACCTCTACTAATGTCTCTGCTTTCCTCCCTGCAGTTTTGACTCCAACAGCCCTTCTGGCAGTGATTCCCCAACTGCCCTTAATGACTGAACCCCTCAAACCCTCATGATAGACAGACAGATGGATGGACACTGAGAACTGTGATCTCCCCAGACCTGTGAAAATCTTTGACAAACAGCCCCCAGCCATGACTGACCAGACCCCTGGCCACTGTGTTTTCAGCTCCCCAACTAACGATATGCAATTCAGCTGACCACTTGTGCTGTCCCTACACAACTGATCACTAAACAGCCCAGACTGTACTTGGGAGATCCCCAAGTATCCCAAGTGATCAACTGATGATGGTGAAGCTCTTGGACTGTGCCCCTTATTGACTGTACCAGGTCCTCCTGACTGATACTGAGAGTAGCCCCACCCCCTGCCCCCACCACTTTGACTGGACTGAGGACTAAAACTGACCCAACTTCTGACATGGCCTTTTGGTTGAATTACTGTTAAGTTTGTTCACCTCACAGGTAGATGACACATGCTGTATGGTTTAGATTGAAGTCCTGGTGTGCCATACAGCAAGAGGCATTCCCTTGTGGAAAGCAACCTGTCTGTATGTTTGCCTTAAAAACATTTCAAGATAGCAGTAGCGGCAGGCTTTGGCTCTAGCTGGTGGCAATGCACTAACTAGCATGGCATAGCGAGGCAATACAACACATTAATGCTGTGAGAATATAAGTAGGTGCTATAAGAGCAAGTGAGCAGCTCAGGTATGTAATCTTGTCCAGTCCTTGAGCTGGATGCATGCAAAGTGCCCTTGCTAGTCTTTGCATATTAGTCACAAACAATGTTCCCTGTAAGCTACGCAGCCACTCCAAGTTTCTCTAACATTCTCTAAAGTTGATACATGGACTTCTGGATTCTTAATTCGATGCTGTGCATAGACCTTGGATGTCCACACATCAGAAAGAAAATTAGAAGGGGCATTGGTTGCAGTTACAGCCTGTAATGCAAATCTGTGCTTCCCCAGTGGACTGCCAGTGTACTGAAGAGGTGCCTCGATAGTCATGAGGAGCTGTTAAGTGAATCTCCTTTGAAGTAAGCAGTGAGCTCAAATGTACCCACTCTGATTTCCGTGTCAAGTTTTCTCAACATCTAACTTGTTTTGTAAGATAAGAGACTGAATATTAATGAGGTGAGTTTTGCCATCAACAAGGCATTTAACAAGCAATGATCGCTATCAATGGGCAACTGGCCATTGCTGAGCAAGAATCTTACCATGTTGCTTGTGAAAAGCATAAAAGATAACACAGGTTGCTCTCAACATCAAGTTGGACCTTGCCAGACTTCTCGTTTAATTCTGCTACGCATTTCACTATCGTCTACATCGCTCAGATCCCTATAAAATTCTGCTAGTGTATCTGAGTCTATTGTTCAATGGGCACGGTTAATCAGCTTCTTTCAAGTGAAGTGCTACATCAAGAATGTAACAATCAGCTAATTTAAAATAACTCAAAGCTGATGTTTAAAGAAAAAATCTGCTGGAAATCAAAACTAAAAACATAATACACTGGAATGCACAGTAATTTAGTCAGCATTCATTTGAATTGAATGCAACATTTCATTGGATTCTACCTGACATTTTAACCACGTTGATTTTATTTTAGAAACCACATTGAAACCCAGTATTTTTTATATTTGAGAGTAGAATTTTGTCTTTTTTTCTGCAATGTATAAGGCGCTATTTTAAAAAAAGCAAAGAAAAATGCATGTGGTGCTTTCCTATTCTCTTGCTTATATTTTAACTGAAATTATAAAATATTTTAGCATGTCAATATAGTTTGATGTATGATACCATGTATGGGATGGTGAAAGTCTACAGGCAGCTGGAGATATTCAAGTAAAGTCAGCTCACATGTCCAAATTCAAAATATTATTTTCCTGCAAGGCAGAAATTGCAAAATATTTTCATTTGCAGTTGAAGTACATCCTTTGTCTGCATCATTTTTTTCAAGAAGTTCACCCACTTCACTCCTGTAGGTGATTGCTCTTTTGCTACATACATTTCCACAATGGTTGGTATTTTTCAATGCCCTGCACAAGAGTTGTGTTGTTCACATATGACCTTGATCCTATGTGCTGAGGTAACTTTAGCTATAATCCATAGGCATGAAAGCCTTTTAGTGTTATGACAATGTATAAAGGTGGATACTGTGTGCTCTCAATCAATTTTTGAGAAAGACCTCACAACCAAGCTCAGATTTCTCTTCATGTGATGTTCAGACATTTACATTTGAGCAGGAGTTGTTGGACAGCATGTGGGAGTTGAAACATGGATGATTTTTGACTGTTTGACCCAGAAGCTGGCAATGGTGGTCCTTATTTTTTCTTGGCTGAGCATAGGCGAACACAGCTTAGGTAAAGAGTCAAATGTGAATGCTTTCTGGTTCTAGAGAGGAATCACAGTATTCACATAACATGATAACAATTCACATTTTTTCTTCAAGCTAATCCAAAGCAAATGTTACTGAAGCACTGGCATCTACAATGTAGGAAACTGTCCAGCTACATTCTGTCCACAAAAAAGGACAAATCCAACCTGCCCAAATGCCACCCCCTTTGTCTAGTGTTAGTATCAGCAAAATGATGAAAGGTGCCATTCATAGAGCTTCCAAGAAAAATTTATTCAGCATTAACCTACTCCCTGATGCTCAAATTGGGTTCTGCAAGGCCTATTGAACCCCAGACACATTGAAAACTTGGTCCAAACATGGACAGAATGGCTGAATTCCAGAAGTGAGGTGAGACTGCCAACCCTTGACCTAAAGACAGCATTTGTGTCTCACAACAAGGAGCCTCAGTAAAATTGAAGTCAATGGAAGTCAGGTGGAAAACTCTCCACTTGTTGAAACCATACCTAGTATAAGGTAAGGCTGTTGTGGTTGTTGGCAATCAATTATCTTAGCCCCAGGAGATCACTGCAGGAGTTCTTCAGGATAGGATTTTTCAGCTAATCATCTTCAACTGCTTCACCAATGACCTTCCCTCCAACATAAGAAGTGGGGATATTCAATGGTGATTCTATCGTATTCAGTACCATTTGCAACCATGCAGGTACTGAAGAAACCTGGACAACACTGAAGATTGGACAGCTAAGGGGCATGTGATGTTGCATACATAAATGTCAAACAATAACTATGTACACCAAGGGAGAATTTAACCATCTCTTCTTAACATCTATCAGCATTGACAGCTGAATTGCTCACCATCATCTTGGAAATTGCCAT